CAAAGCAAACAGGGTCCGGGAAGCTCCAAATCAAGAGGTAATAACTCGGTCAAGATAAGCAGTTTGGGATTCCATCGGGGCTCTTTCCGGGCGAGGTGGGGATGGGGTGGAAAGTTATCAGGTTTAAACTAATGATCGTGATTTTTCTTCCTACATGTCATTAAACGCGGAACAAAGCTGCCCGGGGACAGCCTGCCTGAGTGCCGGCTTGGAGGGCTTGGCTCCAGCCGCCTCACCTGCACTGCTTACCCAGGCGCTTATTTGTTATGGGGAGTGAAGGTGGTGGGAGGCCCCCGTGGGCCCATTTCTGGCATAGACCCAGCGGGCTTCAACACCTCGACCTCGGCTCCGGAGTGCACATCCTCTGCCAGCCCCCGCGCTCAGGTGTCCTCTGGAGATGCGCTTTAGAGAACTCCCTGGTGACAAGATCAAAGCGTAGGTTCAACCTCCCCCAGTAAATGTTAATTGAATTCTTCCCTCTTGGCTGAAAGGATGGAAGAAATTGAAGTGAACAGCTCCTCTCTCGCATAACTCAGCGACAGGAGAGCCAGGGTCGGAGCCAAGGTGGTGGCCGAAAGTGGAGAAGACCTGCTGGTCAAAGCAGACGGTCCCGGCTGGGCGTCTACACTCAGGAGGGCTGCGATGCAGCTTCGGGACCCCCGGGGGACTTTGCCAGAGCTTTGCCCCTTGGTGGAAAGCGTGGCGATTTGTCACAGAGTGGGGAGCTGCCGGTGGGACCCACGGATTGAATGAAGCCAGTCATGTGCTCGCTTGCCATTGCCCTGGATCACAGGAACTAGCAGCTTTCCCCATTCTCAAGGCTGCTAAAACCCTTCGTATCCCTTTGATCTCTCCCGGGAGTCCCAGATGCAAGCAGAGGCCAATGTCTTCTTCAGCTGTGGTCTAGCCACAGCCTTCCAGCAGCTCTGGCAGGTACTAATGTGTTTACTTAGGTGTGCAAGGTTCCCAGAGCTCGAGGGAGCCAAAAGTTTAGCACATTGTCGGAGTCCCCGTAACGCAGGTCCGACTGGGAAACAGTTTTGCTGGAGGTGGTGTCTGGGGGCGGCTGGATGAAGGGAGAGGAGATTATTACCTATTTCATGGATTTCATGAAACTTGCCCCGATCCAGCAGGAAACTTGAATTCACGATACACAATTGAATCTTGCAAACCATTCTTACATGCAATGGTCCAAACACTAAACTCTGTATATTAAAGGCAAAATTCCCCTGGCTTCAATCGAAGTTTGCCTAAATATTCCAGAACAACGACCAATTTTCAGTATATTTTCTTTGGCTAAGACTCTTAACTTTTTTTTTAAACAACTAAAGGACATCCCTAACAAAAGCCTGGATACCTTTCGTGTCAGGGTAAGCTCTATTAAACCCTGATCCTTGAATTTATTCAGGCAAGCTCAATGGGAATTTACTTCGGTGAGGGCTGCACTATCTGGCTTTCGATCTCAGATGTCTTCATAGTTAAGATGTGGTTTTTATTTAATACTTTAATACAGCTTTACTATGGTTAAGAACACACAGGTTGTATTTCAATACCACACAGTCGTTTACATGGGGTCTATTTCCCCACTGAATCTACCCCAAAGCATTAGGCACTGGGTCAGAGCTGTAATGACGGTAGCCAGTGCTAATATTTCCATCATATTTTGTCCATAACATTTTGTTCATTACATTTTGTCCATAAACCTTACATTTCGTCTCTAATTCTGTGGCTGCGATGCTAATGACCCTGGATTCGGATTTACCGAGGTAGTTAGACCCTGCGTTTTCTCAGCTTCATCTATAAAACATTTGTTTTTTCCTCTTCTTTTAACCATTATTTTGGTTTGATTTTCATTGTGAAGCAAGTCGAGCCATTTCAGAGGGGAACAAGAAGAGTTCTGAAATAAAACCCGCTCCGTAATAATATTGCCTTTAAAAAAATTTGACTGTTTTTGCTCAGATTTTAAAAAATCGCAAACTATTCCAAGAATGTGTTTGTCAAGATATGTCTTTAAAAGTAAGTATAACAGCCTGGCTCCTCTGGGATGGGGGACTCCTTGGGAATGCTGCCTTCTTTCCGTCCGTGAAGATTTCCCGACTTAAAAAAAAATCTGTTAACAACAGTTTGTTAATTGTGTCTAATGCTCTCTGAGCTCTAGTTTTCAGCACTTCGGTCCCTCTCTCAGAAGTGCAGCAGCCCCCGTTTCCCCTCGCATCAGCCTCATTAACCAACCTTGTAGTTTGTGTTTTCTCTGCCTTTTTTTTCCAGTTCCACTCGCCTGCTGCACTTTTGCAAATTTGTTTTGAGATCACTTTACAAAAGAGCCCTGGAACCTCTAAGGGATACCAATTACAGCTTTTCCTGACTGACAGCATCCTCCCCCCTCCCTCCCCAAACAGAAGGGAAACAAATCTGAATCCCCCAAAGACTCCTGGAAAAGCCCAGCCTCAAACCCTCTGGACTGAGAGTTAAAAAGTCGAAGGCCAGAGGACCCTGGCAATATTTTGTGCCTCGTACCAAAGGGCTTTGGCATTCAGCTAACTATTACCTACTTGGAGAGGAACCCCTGAAAGGTGATCAGAACAGTGTCACTAGCGCGCTAAAGAGCAAGTTTATTTGTGCACAAAGCGTAAATCTGTAAACAGGTCTATTTTAGCCAGCGCCAATGTACTAAATCAAAAGATCTGTGCGCCCCAACCCTGTAACGTCTTCAAGTTACTGCTGACCAACCCCGCTTTATCTGGCTGCTGATTTCTGAGAAAAACAATTGGGAACTGAGATGTTTCCACCGTGGGCCGTGGCCAAGTGAACGTCAGCCCGGACTTGGATGGAGCAAGCTGAAATTCAGCGCTTGCTGTAACTGCATTCCTTGATCAGCTTTCTGTACAGGATTCATTTCAAAGGGGCTCTCCCTCTTTATGGCCCCAAATAAACGGGAGCAGGGCAGACGTAGCCGTTTTCAAGCGCTTGGATAATGCTTTGAAGCAGAACCAGAGAATCGGAGAAAATGAGGTTTGGAAGGGACCTCAGCAGGTCACCCAGTCCAACCCCCTGCTCAAAGCAGAACCAGTCCCAACTAGATCAAGCAGAACTTCATTTGTGAAACAGGTGGTTTTTGTCCTGAAGTGAAACGTCTCTGTTAAGAAAGAGCCGCCTCCCGTACACACGCTGAGCTAGGCAGAGAGTAGTGGCCAGGGGGCTGCTCCTCTGAGTATTGCATGAAGGACACAGGAGAGAGGGGGACAGAGCTTTTCGAGATGCCTGGCAAACCTGAAGCCTCTTCACATGTTTGGCAAAAGGCAGCAGGTTCACACCACCTTGTCTTTCCCGAGGGCTCCCTGCCAGCTTCTCCCTCCAGCAGGGTTTGGACAAGGCACCTGCATCAAGAAGGGTTGTCGGTTGTAGCCGTGTTGGTCTAAGGACACGGACAGGCAAGGTTCTTTGGGTAGATGTGATACCTTTGATCAGACCAACTAAATAGTTGGAAAATTGTTCTTTGTAAAGTTCTTTGGGTAGATGTGATATCTTTTATTAGACTAAGTAGTTTGGAAAATTGTTCTTTGGAAACTTTCGGGCACACATGCCCTTCTTCAGGCATTGGGAAACTTGGTATTCTACCCAAGGGAGCACACACACACCAGCAGACTTTCCCTTTACCCGAAGAACCGTGTTTGTGCCTGACAGCTTGCAAACAACAGTTTTCCCAACTATTTAGTTGGTCTAATAAAAGATATCATAGATGCTTCTCAAGCAAATCCCGGGAGGCCAGTCACCCGTTGTACTCGGCCTTGGTGAGGCCGCAGCTGGAGTACTGCGTCCAGTTTTGGGCTCCACAATTCAAAAAGGATGTGGAGAAGCTTGAGAGGGTGCAGAGGTGAGCCACCGCATGATCAGAGGTCAGGAAAACAGACCTTATGATAAGAGGCTGAGAGCGATGGGACTTTTCAGCCTGGAAAAGCCAGGCTCAGGGGCGATCTGGTGGCCACCTAGAAGTGTATCGGGGGTGCTCACCAGGATCTGGGGGAACGTTTATTCACCAGAGCGCCCCAAGGGATGATGAGGTCAAACAGTTATAAACTACTGCAAGACTGTTTCAGGCGGGACATGAGGAAGAACTTCTTTACTGTCCGAGCCCCCAAGGTCTGAAATAGACTGCCGCGGGAGGCGGTTCAAGCACCCCCTTTGAATGCCTTCAAGGCACATTTGGATGTTTATCTTGCTGGGATCCTACGATCCCTGCTGACTTCCTGCCCCTGGGGCGCTCCCTCCGGGTCCCTTCCAGCCCCTATGAAATCCATGAAATATCACATCTACCCAAATACTTGGAAAAATTGTTCTTTGCAAAGTTATTTAGTTGGTCTAATAAAAGATATCACATCTACCCAAACAACTTTGCAAAGAACAATTTTTCCAACTATTTAATTGGTCTAATACGAGCTATCACGTCTACCCAAAGAACCTTGTCTGCCTGGATCAAGAAGTATACCGGTTGTAGCCGTGTTGGTCTAAGGACATAGGCAGACAAGGTTCTTTCAGTAAATCCATTACTACACCAACTAAAATAGTTGGAAAAACTCTTCTTTGCAAGCTTTCGGGTACAAATACCCTTGGTCAGGAGGAGGAAGCGTCAGGCTGGATCAAGAAGGGAACTTGTAATGTCAGCTTCTCCTGGAGAAAGGTTAGGAAAAAAAAGACAAAGCCTCTCTGAGTGCACAGAATAACTGGCCCAGCCTCTGAATGGCTGAGTCCGTTGAGCTTAACCCAAGCCCCACATTTTTTTTCCTCCTGAAACTCCGAAAGCACCTGAATCTAGCCAAGGGGTTCTTTAAATGCCTGTTAAATGGCTTCATTACCAGCCTAATGACCCCCTCCCAGCCTCAGTGATCTGCTGCTAGGTCTTTGGAAGGCTTTTGTCACCGACTTGTGTAAAGTTACTCAGGGCTCGTGGGGGTTAGAAATCTTACACTTCCAGGAGGGGGTGGCTGCCCTGGCAGCTGGGATGCATCTGTAACGGTACAAGGTTGCCTGAAAGCAGAAAATTAGCCGGCCCAGAGCAGGGCTCTACAGTCGCGTCTCCGGCAGCATCAGGTCATCCCAGGGAGAGGCCGCGAGAGTGGAGGAGCAGAGGTTTTTTTTTTTTCCTTCGGCAAACAGATACAGTCTCCTTCTGTGAGTACCTCATCAGGGACCACTAACAGCCCACCGCTACCTGGCATGCTTTTCTCCCTCGCATTAATACATCATGTCTCTGCTCTGTTGAAATGTTTTCTTCTTCTAGTCCTTTTTCTTGTCTTCTTTTTTTACAGCTGTGTTTGTCAAATCATTGAATCAAGGGGCAGTGCGTGTCCCAGGGCAAGATCACAAGCGGCTTCCAGCTGGAAGCACCGGCTGCCTTGTAAAACGGGCTAAAGCCATTCCCCATGTGTTGCAGGGCCGGGGGCGCTGCCCTGACTTCTCCCCGGGACAGCACAGAGGAGGACTCCAATGGGGAGTGCATGATGGGTGGGTGGGTTTGAACCCTCTTTCTCTTTTCACACGAAATTGTACATCTCCGTGATTTCGATCCCCTCCCCCCCAAGCTTTTGATTTATTTATTTTTTAATCCGTCCATTTTGTATTTATTTTTTTAAAGCCAGGCTTCTGGGGTGCGATGAGCCGCTCCGCCGGCGCGGGGTGGAGGAGCTGTCTCCCGGGGAGAAGTGTGTGTGCGCGCAGGGGGCTTGCCCAGGCAGCCCCAGGAGGGGATGTGATGGGACGTGCTAGCCGAGCGGACCAGCCCCCCACAACCGCTGTATATAAGGAGCCAGAGGACACTGCCTCCGGCCACTAATAACTGCCCAGGGGAAGCGCGGGTGCGTGCCCCCAGCCGCACTCCCCAGCCCTCTTTCTCCTCTGCTGCTAGGATGGAGGTGATGGACGCCTGCCAGTTTTCTCCATGCGATTTTTTCTCCGACAGCTCCTGCCTCTCCTCCCCCGAGCGGGGCTTGGCCGAGGGCCTGGAGCACAGGGTGTCCTCGGGAGCTCGCCCACGAGCCCCTCCGGGCTCCGATGAGGACGAGCACGTCCGAGCCCCCACGGGCCACCACCAAGCCGGCCACTGCCTCCTGTGGGCTTGCAAAGCCTGCAAAAGGAAGTCCACGACCACGGACAGGAGGAAGGCCGCCACCATGAGGGAGAGGAGGAGGCTGAAGAAAGTCAACCAAGCTTTCGAGACCCTCAAGAGGTGCACCACGGCCAACCCCAACCAGCGCCTGCCCAAGGTGGAGATCCTGCGCAACGCCATCCGCTACATCGAGAGCCTCCAGGACCTGCTGCGGGAGCACGTCCACAGCTACTACGGCCGCTCCGAGCCCGCCAGCCCCGCGTCCCCCTGCTCGGACGGCATGGTAAGAGGGGCGGGGGGCGGCTCAGGGAGGCTCAGGGGGGCCCTGGGGACCTCCATGCCCTCCGCCGAGGTGTTGCAGAGCCCAGGCCTGGCGGCGAGGCCCCGGCGCTGAGCGTGGGCTGCACTAGCCCAGCTCCCTCCGAGCCGCGGCACTGCCCTGTCCGCTCGCCCGCAG